TATGAACAGAATAAAAAAGACTTGAGGTTGATCAGGTTCCAAGAGGTTGATCTACATCCTGAAGGATTAGTAAGAGCTTGTCCATCTTATGGAGCAGACCTAACATGTATTTCTGGGAAGTGGAAGTCATATGTACAAAGGCAGAGCAGATCACAAAAATAGAAATTGTTGATGTCCTCAGTTTGAGCAACGGTAGAGTTGGAGATGGAAAGCAGAATTAGGGCCAGCTTCTACCCAGCCTGGAAGATCCTACAAATATGCTACTCTATCCCAGTGATGGTGAACCTTTCAGAGACCAAAAGTGCTACCTGTAACCCACTTACTTATCACAAAGTGTCAACTCTGCAATTAAACCTGAATACTGAGGTCTTAGTTTAGAAAACACAACTCATACCTTAACATCTTTTGTCTTAACAGAAAAACAATAACATGCATGCCACCAGTTTCACTACCATTGCTCTATCCTATCAGACAGGCAATCCTACCCCATTTGTATCTACAGATGTGTTACAGCCCAGATTACCACATGGTGTGGAACAGGGTGATGAAGAGTATTGTGCCCAAGTCATGCTCAGCTCTAAGTACACATAAATGTGTGTGTATGAATGTGATAGCGACACAGAGGAGATGAAAACAAGGATTGCCAAGAAGCATAAACTAATGAACTTAAAACCATCAGAAATGGTCAATTTGCTGAAAATAAAGCTCAGAGTAGATAGCCCCTGGGAATTTCAGAGGCCTTAAAGAGATCTGGGCCTAAAGCTCACCAAACTGTTCCAGGGCAGAATCTCCTAGGTGTGTAGAGTAAGACTGGGCCTTGAAGAAACCCACAAGTTCCAAAGGATCCAGCTTTAAGAGTGTACAAGGGTGAGGCAGTCGTATCCAGCTACTCTGGGGTCTAAGGCAAGAAAACTGTAAGGTTGAGCCCAGCTTAAGCAATTTGGCAAGACTGCTGTCTCAAAAAATAAAAAGAGCTAGAGATGTAGCTCAGTGCAAAGGACCTGGGCTCAATCCTCAGAATCACCACACACACAAAAAAAGGCATATAAGAGATTATGAGGGATACAGCTCACTTTTCACCCTTCCTAGAATCTGTGAAAACAGGGTAATGTAGGTGCCATCAAGTACTAAAACAAAAAATAATACTAGGACACATAAAGGCCAAGGGAAGCGGAACTTTTAGGAAGGAGGAAGCAGGAAAGTAGTGACTCAGGAAAAACAAAGCTGCCAAGAGGGTCAGAGTGGCTGTGCCCAAACCAATTGGTGATGACAGAGTATCACATCTCAAATGGGGGTGTACGATCTACCGAACTTAACATTTAAATACCTTGTTCGTTGTGTTTGTTTTCACTCTTCCTTAGATGTGCCACTAGGGCAAACACCAGAGGATTTTAAGCAGGACAGCATCACGAACAGAGTTACATTTCAGCAGGGAAAAAATCTAACGCTCAGTTTCAAAAACCTTCCAGACACTAACACCTAAACAGTACACCATTTCTCATATCCAAAGCCTCGTTTCCCCAAAATTGTTTCTCCTTCTTTATTATCATGTCTAATCAATCTCAAGTGGACTGACATCTCCCACTCCTTAGCCCCGTGTCCTACAGATTTTGTCTGCCCAAGGTCTCTTCTGAACCAACTTCACCCCTTTTCAGGCCCACAGTAAGGCCTCACCTACCATTTCTACCCTAACCTACACTTTTAGTTTCCTAACTGTCCTCCAGGGCCCAGGGTCTTTGTTTCCCTTGGTCACTGCCTCCCAAGCACTGTGAAGTCCACTACAGCCATTTTCTTTTTTTGGTACCTGGAGTCGAACTCTAGACCTTGCACTTGCCACGCAGAGCTATATCCCCAGCCCTACTACAGCCATTTTCATCTGCCAGTTAGAACTACCTGGGGAACTTTGTAAAAACATCCCAGATCTACTAAATCTGAATAGTTTACAAAGCTTCCCAGGCAATTTCAAAGCACACATTCTTGCCACAGATGACAAAGTGGTAGGCACCTTCCCCGCCAAATTAGAAATGCAGAAAGCCAGGTCCCATACCTGATCTCAGAATCTGCATTTGAACCCAATCCTCAGGTGACTTGGGCCCATTAACGTTTGAGAAGCTCTCCTCCAGTGCTGAACCACTCATTCCACAAGTATTTAGTGGATTTTCTGTCAGACAGGGAGCTGGAAGAGCTAAAGTCTCTTTGAGAAGCTCACAGACCCCTTAGTCTCCTGCTTGAAAACCTATATTGACTCCCATTCCCCATACTGCACCTTCAGACAAAGTTCTCATGACCAACTGGGATCCTGTACTGCCCTAGTCATCGCTCTGTTGTCCACCACCCGCCATGGGAGCCAAGCTAGATGACTGGCCACTTCCCAAGGCTAGTCCAAGCCTGCCTGTCTATGCAACTCTCACAGTCCAAGCCACCTTGCTCACACCCACCTGGAGAAACCCAGAAGAAATCCTTTGAGTTCTAGCACATACATATATTACCCCTTTTTAAGAATTATCCCAGACTCTGCCTGCCCAGAGGAAAGACGGGAATTTCCACAACTTTGTTCCTACCCCCATGTAATTTATATCATTCCACTTTGTCTTAAAGTTTTAGTGCATTTGCCTTAGCTATCCCAGTGGAGAAGAGACTACTGACACTCTCCCAGCAGCCAATAAGCTAGTAACCGGCATCACCAAATTTCAAAGTAATACGACTACTACTAGTTAAAACGCACTGTATAAGGGCTGGGATGTAGCTCAGTGGTAGAGCCCACGCCTAGCATGAGTAAAGCCCTGTAACCAGCACCACAGCAACAACAAAAGTTAAATAAAACCTCATAAGGATGCAAGTGAGTCACTAATCTCCCTTATCTCCCCATTCAAAGTACTTTAAATATGAATGTAAGTAGAACACAAATGAGATCTCTTGAGCCCAAGAGAGAATGAACTTCTAAATCAGATAATACCCAGTGTTTTCCTCCTAACAATAACCCAAGCCTGAAGGCTGAGTTATATCTATCACTAAACCAATATGATTGTTCTAATATATGAATTTATGATTATACCAGTAAAATCAGAATCTGAACATTATTGATATCTATGATCAACTACCGTTCTGTAGTTGAACACTTAACTTCACAATACATACCACAAAATGTGTAAATCCATCAGCTTTGTATTACAATCAATTAAGGAAGAATGGAGGAAAGAGCGAGAAGAAGAGAAAGAGAGGAAGTAGACCAAAATATGAAAAGGGAAACAGATCTACACCAAATATCCAGATGCTCTAAGTCAGACTTGCAAGAATGAATAGAATGTGTATTTCAGTCCTACCCAAACCTTGGAAGTTCTGGCCTTTAAATATATAATCTTATTTTCATCGAAGAAAAAACAGCTGGTCTGGAGTCAGTAAAGGAGGGGGACCCATTTTTAAACAGGATCATTCCTATCTTGCAGTCTACTAGCATTTAGCAGCCTGATCTTTTGAAAAGTACGTTTTTGCATTAACAGTATGGGACGCACGCACTGTCGAACCGAGATTTGCCTGAGCAAAGTCCTAAAGCTTCCAAGCTCGAGGTTTTCGCTGCTCCGGGAGCGCAGCTGGGCCATCCGTACCCACGCAGAACTCCGAGGTGTACGACCGCTGGCGTCACCAGCGCCACCCTGGCACCTGTAGATCGCGGACTGTCCGCGGCGCCCCGCAAGTTAACAGTGGAGTTTTGAAGCAAATCCACAAGAGTTACCCACCGTCCTTCTCATCTTCTGACCAGAGAAGAGGTGAGGTCCCCGACCTCGCGCCTGGGACCAGCTCCCGGACCCAAGAGGCACTGAGTGACCCCCCAGGACCCGCGTGGTTCTCGGAGCTGGGGTCTCGGTTTCCCAGGCAAAGTCCCGCTCGGGGAGCCCGGTCCGAACACTGGCGAGTCCGGGCGCATCGGGGAAGCGCACTGACCTGAATGCGGGGCGCTGGCTCCGGTCCGGGCGGCTCAGGTGTGCGGGCCGCTCGCGTGTCCCTCCCACCTCCGACCATGAGAGCCGAGAAGCCAGCCACAGGTCCCCGGCCACCGACCAACTGCCGAGCCCCAGCGGACCGACCCGCCGCAGCGGCTCTGGCGTCCACGTGACGGGGGCGGGCACCGCGCCGGAGGCTCGTCCCGAAGCGTCGCTGTCCCACCCCTGGGGCCGCCCCGCGCCGCGGTCGCTCCTCCTCCGCCTCGGGCGCTACCGCTGCTCTCGGGAACT